ATAATGCAAAGTCAGAGGATACCACAGGAACCCAGGCTGCAAAACACAATGTTGGATGGATCTGGCATGGACATCCCTCCATGGGGAGGTAGGAGCATGCTGAGGAGGAGGCAGCTCAGATCCTCGTGCAAAATGTGTATTGTTCCTGGCGTGGTTGTGATACTGTTGACCTCAGGTTCCCCAGCCTGATGGTTCTTTGGACCAGTCCTCTGTGAATGGTGGCACTCAGGTTCATCTACTGACTGTGGACAGCCGAGCCCTCACGTCTCAGTTACTTTCCACTGAAATATGTGCCTGGAAAGAAAATGGGTGAACTCTTCTCTCCTACTGTGAGTCAGGGGTCAAGGCTTCCTATTATCTTATTTTTAACTTGAGGAAAATGATTTGATCATTGGGAAAGTTGGAAGATATTTTTCCATGTTTTTTTACACAAAAATGTGTCATGTCTTTTCCAATGATCCAATACACCATTTAAATTTTTCCATAACTTCATTCAGCTACATAATATGTTTAACCCTATTATGTACAAAGCACTATGTTTTTGTTTTGTTTTGTTTTTGTTTTTTCTTTTTTATTTCTTGGAGAGGTTTTTGCTATAGAGCATGTACGCTCGCCAGGCAGACAGACAGAGACAGAGAGACAGCAGACAGAGAGAGACAGAGACAGAAAGCCAGAAATCACTCCCCAGGGAGGATGGCCACGCCGCAATCCCTTCTCCTCCATTCTCCTCTTGGGATCTTGTGCACGCACGCACATGCACCTGGCGTGAGTTTTAAGCCACCGTACACGAACCGCAGTCAACTACATGGGAATCCAGTGACATAGCCATTATGCTAACTGCTGGTCCCACACTGTGTATTTTTTATTACTCTCATTATTAGTCTCTTTAAGTCCATTTCTGCTCATATATTTTTATATAATCCCTGGTCAGGTATGGAAGGGAGATTATATATAGACCAATTTTGAAAGAAGTCATTCAGGATCAAAGAAAATCTCTGGTGCTATTCATGTCATTGGTTTATTAACTTTCTTTCTAGCCAACCGGTTTTCATTTTACATTTTTTCCTTTGCTAAAATTGTAATTTCTCGTATCTTCTTTGGGAAAGTCCATTTTTATTTGTGAGTATTAACTAGTTTGAGCCCTGATGTATCTACTGTTGATTGACTTTTTATGAAAACCCCTGCACTCTGTTCTATGGTGTCTCTTTGAAAGTCAGGGTATGAATTTCCCATTGTCTCAGGGGTCATTTGAGGGCTCTGATAAACCCTCTGCCTCTGATAGGAGACTTGAATTTCAGAAGAATTAGATAGAAAAAATAAAATGTTTATAATCCGTGTGCCCAAAACATGCAAGTCAGACTAAACCCCTGTCCTTCTCTGGCGTTAGCAGACATGGGAGCCTGTGCAGTGTGCATGAAGAACAGCAGCTCGATGGCTCCTGAGGACCAGGACAAAGCAAAGGTCAAGGCTGTCTTCATATTCCTTGTAAGGATTTCTGGAAAATTTGTCTTTTTCTGTGACCTCAGCCTACCCTCATTCGTGGTGTGTCCTCTGATATTTTAGCATGTCTTTATTTATCAAAGTGCAAAATAATCTTTTATGCAAGTCTTTAGACTTCAAATAATTCGAAGCTGTTAATTTTGGAGCCTGAAGAAGCTTGTTTACAAGCTCAGGACTGCAGATTAACCTCTACACTCCCAGC